TCACAGATCCAGAGCTCCTCCTGTCCTTGCTGGATGCGGCTGATTAAGTCAGGTGTGGGACCTCGATATCCTGTTTGGGATAGTGGTTAAAGAGGGTTCGTGAATGGGTACTGGATACAGAATAAGAAACTGGGATTTGGGGAATGGATCCAGTTAACACAATGATTCTACTGGGACCTTGCGGAACAAGGGAAGGTGGACGTTTAGGATGAAAGAAAGGGAGAGCACTGCAGGGAGAGGCCTTTGACAGATGATGGCCTTTGTCACTCAAATGGTAGGGAATGGTCATAGGAAACAAAACACCAACTGCTCTGAGATATAAAACGGGTATGTGACCGACAGTTCCCAGGGAAGGGAGTGGATGTGCAGTGACCTGTGATGTGATAGAGAGCAGAAAGATGAAGCTCTCACTATTTACAAGGCACCAAAACAAAGCGAGGTTGGACACACTGGTGGCTGGATAACATCTGTCTTATCAGTGTCATTCCAGGCAAAGTAATGGGGGTAAGTTTCTTCTCTGGTTTCAAACGAGGCCTGGCAGCAGGGAACAGAATCCAGGACAGATGGCCAACCATGACGCTTCTCTCTAGGAGAGGGCCATTCCCCAACAGGGCGGAGGAAGGGAAGATGTTATAAGAACTGCAGTGGCAATGAAAGCAATCATCCCATCCAGTGGGAGGATCATCCCAGAAGGGAGATGAGCACACAGACGGGCAAATTCTGCAGGGTTCGAAATAAAGGTCCCAGGAGTCCTGGATACGAACAACAGAAGGCAGAAGGAGACACCTTTTATAGCATGTGAAAGCCCTAATGTAAGAATGGTCGACGTGGTCTTTGCAGAGCTAAAAAATGCTATAGAGCCCTTCCCTAAGGAAGTCTTTAGGGGAACTGGAGGAATAGAAAGTGCTAGAAAAGCAAGGTCACCCTATAGAAGGTAAGCCTCTCAGCCCTGCCCATAAGCCAGAACAACCCTTGTATCAGAGAACCCCTGGAAATGACAATGGATCCTCACCAGCCCTGCACCAGGCCCACCCCATCTATCTCTGCAACAGGCAGAGAGATTCCAGGAGGAGGCTAAGACAACTCCCGAGAATGGCAGAGCATTCTTCAGAACTTGAGAGCAGTTCTTCAAATAAACACAGCCAAGCTAGAACCTGCAGCCTGTGGAGATGACTTTAGTAAGGAACATGGGCAGGTTTCCAGGGACCTCGAGATAGAAGTACTCGGATTTCATCGTGCATGCACATGTCACTGGAGATGCGTCGAGGATATTTAAATCCCCGGGTTGGTAGCAGTAGAGGCTGATATGCCTTTTACTACCTTCTGCTAGATCGTAACCAAAGGAGAAAAGGGATTTAGACAGCACTGACTGAGCATGCTCAGAGTGTTAGGCATGTGGGACAGGACTCACTCCGCAGGTCAGGGAGGAAATCATAGAAATTAAGGGCTGGAAGGGACCTCAAAAGATCGAGTCCAATCCCCCTGCTCTGAGCAAGAATACTGCTGAGGTCAAATGACCCCAGCAAGGCGTCTGTCCAGCCTGAGATTTCACGACTTCCAAGGCTGGGGACTGTACCCCGCCCTTGGGAAGTCTAGTCCAGATTCTGGTGAGCCTTACTGTAAATAAGTTCTTCCTTACATCCAGTCTGAAACCAGACTGGGAAACATCCTCAAACAGTTTATGGCCATTACTCCTTGTCCTCCCTTGGGGCGCCCTAGTGAAGAGTTTCTCTCCCAGCTCCCAATATTCACCCCTTACATACTTACAGATGCTCACCAAGTCCCCCCTCAGTCTTCTCTTTCCCAGGCTGGAAAGTCCCAGATCCCTCAGTCTTTCCTCATACGGTTTGTCCTCCAGGCCCTTAATCATTCTTGTGGCCCTTCTCTAGGCCCTTTCAAGATTCTCCATGTCTTTTTGAAGTGCGGCACCCAGAACCGGATGCAGTACTCCAGCTGGGCTCTCACCAGTGCCGAGTAGAGAGGAACCATCAACTCCTTAGCCCTGTTTGCGAGACATCAGCTAATGTGCTAATCTCAGTATGTTATTAGCTCTGTTGACTACAGCATCGCACCAGTGGCACAAGCATTCCCCGAGGAACAGCTGGAAGTGAATATTTCTGCCCAATGAATTGGAGATGACACAACCACACTGAGAAGAGAAAGGGAGATCCTGTTGCCAAGACATGGTTGGATATGGAAGCACCGGGGTGCCAAGAATGGGAAAAACTCAGGTGAAGGTAGCTGGATCATGGAACAGGAGATGTCAGGATGAAACACAAGAGAGGCCTGATCAAACATGGAGCCATGGGGAGGATGGGCATTTCAACCCAGAGGGAAAAGCTTGCAAGGTTGAGAGTGCAAAGAAGCAGGGAGAAGACGATAAGCATCAGCGCTCACATGGCTGCAGCGAGAAGGAGGAAACAGCTTTACCCAGGAAAACGAGGGCTCGGCAGTTGCTCAGCATCTGGTCCCGGTAAAGCCCCTTCTGTGCATCCTCCAGCAGCTCCCACTCCTCCCGCGTGAAGTACACAGCCACATCATCAAAGGCTTCCCAGAGCTGAGGGCACAAGCGTTAACCCATTAGTGTCTCCTGTTCCAGCTGCCTCCAGCCCCCACTGCCCTCTCCAGGATCCCTCTGTGCGACAGCTCTCTGCAGGCTGGGCCATAACACAAGAAGTGCAAAATGCCCCACTTTTCACTGCCACGGGATGTGGGTGAAGCTGTGGATGTAGAGGGCCACATGTCTGCCCTGGCCCAGCTCATCACGTTCCATGTTTTCAGCTGTTTGAGGCAGCACCTTTAGAGGCAGGGGCCTGGCTCCACAACTGTGGCCAGGCCTTCCTGTGCCAGCACCCCTTGTTCTCGCAGCCCCCATCACCAGACACTTGTTGCTCCTCAGCTCTCTCTGCTACCCAAACTTTTGACAGTGCCCCAGCTCCTCCTGGGCACAGTCCCAGTGTACCCCCACCCCCAGCTGGAGCTCCTCCCAGGCACGGCCCCAGCTGCTCTTCCTGTCACCTCCACCCCCAACTGGAGCTGGTGCCCTGCTCACCTCCATGCTCTCCCCCTGCCTTGCCGGCCTGTCCTGCCCCTTCTGCAGCTGGTCCTGCTCAGGGCTCAGGGCACCTGTCGGCAGCTCCATGTTTGCAGGCCTTTCTTCAGGAGACTGCTGATGAGCTCTGCTCTGGGCCCCTGCACCTGCGGGGGAAAGAGAAGGCACAGGTCAGGCCTGGTGCTGCTGGCAGGGGAAAGCCCTGCTCCTCTCCCGCACTGGCCAGTGACTGGCAGTTGAAAGCTTCAGTGTGGACAGGGGGGGAAATGAAGGAGAGCCACTCCAACACTCAGACTGACACCCTGGCCAGCACACAGTCTCACCTGATTGAAGGCTGGGGAGGGTCTCCTCTCTGGGGCCATGAGGTGGCTGGACCTGAACCCCTGGACTGTTGCTCTGTGCTGCCCCCTCCAGAGACACGCCCTCAGGTTGCGGCTGTGGTTGCTCTGGCCAGGAGTCACCAGACTCCTGCAGTGCCCCGTTGGGCTGCATCCTGTCTGAGGTCCCCTCGTCCACCTTCACCCTCACCGTGTTCTGGGGACGAGAGGGACGTGTCATTGGGGAGCTGGGACTAGGAGACAGGGCGGCAGGGAACATCTGCCAGGCTCACAGACTTGGGAGCAGCAGCAGCAATGATTCTGGTGAAATGTGAGCACGTGGAGTTTCTCAGCCTCCGCCGGCCCAGGCTGAAACCCCGCGGCCAGGGTCACCGCCTTGGCACACGTCTGCACCCTGCGCCCCCACCCCGCGTCCCTTGGGGCAGCACGGCCAGGACCCGCTCCAGCACCACCAGCTCCACCCCGTGCCCCTGCTGCGGCGATGGCAGAGCTCCGAGGTGGCTGCAGACCTCGCGTGGGCCCTCAGCCTCCTGGCAGCGCAGGCCTCAGCACCACGTCCTGGCCGGGGGAGCTCATTCCCTGGTGCGGTGCGCGAGGGCCCCGCGGGGGCTGCTTCACCTCCTGCCCCCGGGCCCCGCCGTGCTGGACCAGCTCCTCCTGCAGCTGCTGCTCCCCCTG